CCAACTCCCATAATGCACAGCTTTTATTTCTATAGTAGCTGTTTAATGCTCTTTCTCTACCTTAAGCGAGGTTTGACTGATAGTCACTGGAGTTTTCCTGCAGAACTTGGTCATATCCACTCATACTGCTCTGACCACCATAACCACCTCCATAACCACTCAGCTGCTGGCTGGCAGGACCCCCGTAACTAGACTGGTTAGATAAGCCCATCCCTCCCATCATTTGGCTACCATAAGCACCACCACTTGCCCCTGCTGTAGAATTCAAAAAGAGTTCTACATAGCTATGATCATAACCTCCTCCACTTGTTCCTGCAGTAGAATTCAAGAAGAGCTCCACATATCTGTGCTGCATATTAGCTTTATCTTTTGCCATAGCTGCCACTGCATCTTCATGAGTAGCAAATTCAACATCTGCCTCACCGGTAACCCGCCCATCAGGTCCAATTTCAATGTGTACTCTCATGGGGTTAAGAGGCGAGAAAAAATTATAAATATCATTCTCAGTGGCTCTGTAAGGTAACCCCCTCATGTGTACACAGTGCCCCGTGGTGCTCTGGAAACTAGACCCACCATCTCCATATCTATGATCAGTCATTCCTGAGAAACAGTAATTGAGGTCTCTTCCAAACCTATCAGACCCAAAGCCATAGCCATCATTATAGCCACCATAGTCATCATAGCCTCCATACCCTCCACCATATGCACCCCGCCTCATCCTTTCAAATCCAGCTCCTCTGCCAATGCTATTATATCCTCGGCCAGCTCCAGGCCTATCATAAGGACCTGGCCGCTGCATAGCCATGAGCTTTCGAGGGGGATCATAGTGGGTTCGGACTTCAGCTCTGCTACTCTTGAATATTTCAATGTACCTGTGCCCTATTCTTTCCTTGTGTTTCTTTAAGGCTTTTTCAGCTATCTCCTGTGAAGCAAACTGCACAAAGGCTTCCCCCGTGCTCCGCCCCTGAAAGTCCACTGGCAGTGTCATCCCATTTGGCACAATTTCCAGCCCTGAAAAGAACTGAACAATCTCTTCCTTGCTACAGCCAAATGGGAGTCCTCTAAGCCGGACGAAGCCATCATTGGCAGTATCAGGACTGTTTGGACCTGTATGCTTCAACACCCAATCCATTTCAACACTGTTGGACTTGAATACTTCAACATATCTGTGACCCATGGTTTCTCTGTCCTTCTTCAAAGCCAATTTCACTTCATCTTCTGATTCAAGTTCAACAAATGCTTCACCACTTGGTCTGCCTTCTCTGGTGTAGATGAAACGAATACCTGCTGTGCCATTCTGGATTTTGCAATCAGAGAAGAAGCGCATCACTTCATCAGCTGAGCAGGACCAGGGTAGGCCCCTGACCTTCACCACGAACCCCTCCCTGCCTTCTGTGCTCAGCATCATGATGACTGTTGGGCTCTTGATGGCAAGCTTGGCTCAATGCAATCTTAATGTGGCTGAAAAAATAATTAAGAGACTATTGTCATGGGAAAATGTTCACAATATATAGTAAGAGAAAAAAAGCAAACAATATAAAACAATTACACTGGTACCTCTTTAAAAATATATCCATATAAACAAAAAGACTATACCAAATGTTTAACTCATTCATTCAACCATTACTTATCCAATGCCTATTATGTGTCAGGTATCATTAATGGTTATTTCTGGGTGGTAGGACTATGGGAGCTTTTTGTTTCAGAGGATTTTTCCCCCCTTTGGATATTTCTATATGTTCTAAGTTTTCTGCTCTGACCATGTATAAACAACATAGACAGTAAATAAAAAGACCTAAAAAGCTGACAGCAACAAAACCAGTAAAAGATATCAACAAACAAAATACAGCTAAATGTGATTAAAGATGAAAAACTTCATCAGATCAAAGGATTAAACAGAATTAAAACACATGAGAAGATACCTGCAACAAATACATTAACATCATATAAAAATATGTGCAAGTCAATAAAATCAGGGAAATACTAAGGCCTAAGACATAAATGGAAAATAGACATTAATGGGAACTTACATATTCAAACGTTTTTAGGTACCAGGTCCAGTGCTCACCTCTAGCACACAAGGATCAATAAACCAAGAAAAGGCTTATGGTCCTACAGGGCACTGAATGTCTTTACTAAAGACAAAAATGCAAATATACATCATACCTGCTATGACAGAACACTGCAGTGGGTAAGGAAAGTATAATGGAGGAACTAGTTGGTCAGTTCTATCAGATAGAGGCAGGATGGTTAAATAAAACAGATTAGCTCCTTCAGAGATCCAGACAAATTTAAAAAAATTTGATGGAACATAAAATAGGGGGCAAACAAGAAGCAAGGCTGACAAGGTAGAGATCAGATCCCAAGTGATGTCATCATAACTCTTTCAGACACATCACCCAGGCAACAGTGTGGCACTAAAACAAAAGGGGTTCTAGGTGCAGTGAGCAATAGCATGGCCTCTTAAAGATACGTTAAGGGATTCAGTAAGAAAACAAAAGTAAAAAGGGGAAGGAATATTGATCTACATGAAAAAGTAGAATCTTGGGACATGATAGCAGATTAAATAGCACAGGATACAGGAGAGGAATCTGGGAAACATTCAAACCTCATCAATCATTGGAAATGCAAGTTAAAACCAGAATTAATCACCTATTTTTTACCCATCAAGAAGTAGAAATTAAACGGTGACAATAAGTCAATGCTACTCAGAATTCACAAACTAATACAATACTAGAGGAGTAAAAACTGATAAAATATTCTGGGAAACAATTTGGTATTAATCACACTTTTTGACAGTAAACCCACTTCAGATTATGTACTTTAAAGATCATTTTAAATTCAGACCAAGACTTATGGAGCTGTATCTTCTTTGAAAGGCATTTTATTAAGAAAAATGTAGTGTAATTCATGTAATCAAAAATTATAAAAATATTTAACATGAGAAATGACTTATAATCATAAATGATCCAAGATCACAGCTACTTTATAATATAATCTCAAAATAAATGTCTACATACTCCTTGACCTTGCTAGAATTCCTTCCAGGAATCTGGTCAACAGAAATACTTACAAATGTTCTCTGCAGCACTATAATGGCAGAAAATTAGAAACCTAGACAACTGATCAACAGGGGTATGGCTTAATAAAGTATAGCTTATCCTTAAAATGGAATGCTATGGCAGCCATCTAATAAAACAGCTCTATCTGCTCTGACCTAGATTTTCAAAACCCATTAAATGAAAGATTTATACATATACTATGATTTTATTTATATTAAAATATAAGCATGTTGGTAAATGTATATAAAATAGTATCTAGAAGTATATAATACAAACTTGTTTTTGAGAAAACAAATGGAGGGCAGGAGAAACGAAGTAAGACTTTCACTTTTTATCCTACAAATTTCCATATAATTTTAATTCTTTAAACTGACTGTATTGGAATATAAATAACAATGTTAGAAAACCGTAACCATGGGGAGTATGTCAAATGTTAAAAGTGGTTATTCTGAGTAGTAGATTTATGGCTTTTTACATTTTATTTTTTCAATTATTTGTGCATTAATTTTCCACAGAAAGAATAACTACTTTCATTTCAACAAAAAAGCAACAAATTAAAGTGTTTGCTTTTCTGGGATTTGATCTATTAAATTTTATAAAATTTTCTAATTTTTATGTGGATGGTTTATCTGACATGGTCTGAGAACAATGGGACTCTTAGAAAGTAAAAAGTGAATAGCTGCCATAAAGTCACACTGAGAACTAAATTCTAACATTTACTAATTGTTTAATGTGTGCTCGCTTCTGCTATGGCGACAGTCTTCCTACAAACCATCCTTAGGGCTCAGTGACAGACCACCCCTGGGATAAAAATGAATCCTGCATCATTCTAAGCCTTAATAGTCTCTGTGTAATGGCCAAGAGGTTGTGCTTCCTAACATCTCCTGCGAACATCAACAAAACTCTGTGGCCTTAAGCAGGAACTCGGATTCCATATAAAAGGTAAGAATCTGTGTATTTGTGTGTGTTATAATACAAATTTCTTTAAAACTAACGACAAAAAGTTGAGTATTGATGAATTACGTTTGTCTTTAAAATGTATAAAGTATATTGTAATTTTCGAATGATCAAATTCAACATGTCGATTATTATTGTAAGCAGAAAAACAAACGTTATTCAAATTCTCAAGTGAAAGCCTTTATTGGGCGCCTCTGGCGGTCACGCAGCGTTTGCCTAGCTGCGACTCTACTGATAATTAACTTGGGACCTTTCCCGACAGTCACACAATCGGGCAATATAGACTGAGGGCCTGAATGGCTGGACATGCACTCAGACCAATGGTCTCAATACGTTTTTCTTAATTCTTTTCAGACATTTTTCACTGTACAGTCCCCGCTAGCGTCCCTGAGACCGGCTCGGACAAGCAGATACACATACATACATACACACACACACACACACACACACACAGCCAGGAACGTCCACCATTTCCCCACCAGGCTTAGCAAAGGCGGCTTTCCGGCAAAGAGACGAGGGGGAGGGGGAGGGGAAGGGAAGCGGGGGGGAGGGGAAAACAGTTAACGAAAAAGGCGGAGGCAGGCCGAGAACCCCACATTGGGTCCTTCATCATCATCAACCCCGGGTTCCCACTGTCCACCCACACACCAACCTCTAAAGATACCGGGTAATTTTCCTCCTTCTTCCCTCAAACGGCTATAGCGAGATGGTAGACGACGACCAGAACTACTTCTGCTCACGTAAGCGATAGATCACGTGACCGCCTACGTCATGTGAGATCTCAGTCACATGAGCAACTCACGGTTTAAATTCGGGAACTCTGAGGTGCTGCATTTCCTTCTGGTCTGAAAATAAGGCGGGCCGATATCAAGAAACGAAGCGTATGATTGGTTGGCGATGCGTCTTACGTGATTAATCATTGGTAGGCCTCTAGAGATAGCCGTCCAGTTAACTGAGAAATAATAACGTCATTATTTAATAATTCATCGGCGATTGGTCCCTAAGGTTAAATTTAAAAGCCCAGGTTACTTGCAGAAGTCTCTTTTGTATAGTCATTGGGATAATGAAGCTTAGGAGCACAGATCAGCGGCTGGTCTGTACGCTTATGCTCCGCTCCCTGGCCCTAGTTCTTTATGGAGTCCTTGCAGCCAGGGCACTGAACAATGGCTTAGCGAAGACGCCTACCATGGGCTGGCTGCACTGGGAACGTTTCATGTGCAACCTTAACTGCCAGGAAGAGCCGGATTCCTGCATCAGGTATCAGATACTGGATGCCCCCTTCCTTTGGCTTTTCCGTATTTAGGTGTGTTTACGGAAGTGGAGGGTCTCAGCTGGAACCTTTGAGCCCGAGGGTGAACTCCCCTACCGTTGTTGCTTTTTTGTCCCTAGCAAACTGTTCTAATGGGACTAGCCATAAACTTTCTCCCTTCCTAGAGTAGGTGTCGAGTCAGCTGCACTTGCTTCACTTCCTTTCACTCTCTGCTCGGTAGCCCAGATAGACTTCATTTACCTCCTGGTTCTATTCCGATCCTTCTTGTGAGCTTTTGCTGTGCCTTTGCTGGGCTCTAGGCGTGAGCTAGCCATAAGCACAACTGGAGTGTGTAGAAGGGATGGAGAACTAAGATTCATGTGATTTCTTCTCCTTTTTGGATCACGGGTCCCTTAGCTGTAACTGGAGCGAGTTAGACCTTGAAGTCTTTGAGATTTCCCTCAGCTCCTCGCCCCGCCACCCCCCGTTGAATGTGGCGTCCCACTGGATGGTTGACCTGGAGGAACTTTAACAGGTCAAAATTGAGAGTTGTGACGATTACACAGGTAGTGAATTTATCTAATCCTTACAATCCTAGTCTATAAATTGAGATAACATCTTTTTTTTTTGCATCAGGGAGATGACTCAGAAAAAGTTATAAAATAGTTCCTATCTCACATAGGTGAGTTTTCAGTGAGATAAACCTATTTAAATTGCAAAGCACAGTGTCTGACTCCTCAATTAGTCAAATGAAATGCATGTTATTTTCCTGGCGTCTATGGTCAAGCGAATGTTCTGCAAATGTGAGTATATGTATTTTCTGGAGAGGAGATCTTTAGATTTTCAAAGAAATCTGTGATCTAGAAAAGGTTAAGAATCACTGGGAGATATTGTTGAAAACATTAGGTAGCCCACTAAACATAGCAGTCACAGTAACAGTGTCTTTGTTCATAAATGGTCCCTGAATATGTCTTCACAGGTAAAGTCAGGATGTTGATCACAAATCACAAAAAAAATTGGCCTTCGAAGTTTCAGACTAAGTCTATTGTGACCCTGGGCTACAGTGTGTGGCAGTTGTTCGTTGTGGATTTCTTTTTGTCTTTTTAAGTGGTGGTTGCCTTATTTTTGTCTGATTAAAAAACTAATGCATAATGATTGCAAAAATTGTAGATAGTAAAGAAGAGAATAATGAAAATTAAAACTCCATTTCACCACTCAGAAGTAATCATGATTAAAACGTTCTTGGGCCAGGGATTTAGCTCAGTGGTTCTGGCACCTGCCTTGCAAGAGCAAGGTCCCGAGTTCGATCACCGGTACCAAAAAAACAAAACAAAACAAACGTTCTTATAGCCCTTGCAGTTATTTACTATGTAAATGAACAGGTTTTTTTCACTATTTCCCATAAAAATAGTATGTTTATGTCATGAGTGGTTAACCACAAGACTGTAGTACACTGCATTATATGTATATATCATAATTTATTTAAGCAGTTCTTTTTGATAGCTACTTGGGAGTCTCAGTTTTTGTACATCATCTGATTCTTATCTGATTCTTTCTTTAGGACACTGATTAAAGTATGTTTTTGTGATACATGTCAAACTATCCTTCCCAAAGATTTTATAAGTATGCATTCCCAATGAAAATTTTTAAGAATACTGTACCTGTTTCCCAAAAACTTGGCCAACATTGCAGTCTTGTAAGTTTTATTATTTGCATTGAATTTTTTGTTTGTATGTTTGGTTTGGTTTGGTGCAGTGCGGTGCTGAGAATCAACCCCAGGGCCTCATACAGGCTAAGCAGGTCCTGTCCCTTTGAGCTACACCCCCAGCCAAATCATTTACATTCTTCAATTACATACTAAAAAGGTGGAACATCTTTTCCTTTGTTAAATTGGCTCCTTGCATAGCGGTTCCTTTCATGGATTACCCCTTTGTGTCAGCTTCCTATTCAGTTGGAATCTCTGGGGGTTGTTTTGTTTTATTTTTGTCTTGAATATGTTGCCAATACAGGTAGCTCTTGTTGTGTATTGGTTTTGATACTTACGTGATTAACATCAATTCTTTCCCTGATGATTTCTGGTATTGAGGTCTGTAAACAAAGAAATCATAAATGAGGTTAAGAAAAAAGGAAAGACAAGTGATGAGTATGGTGATACACACCTGTAATCCCAGCTATTCTGGAGGCCAAGGCAGGAGGATCACAAGTTCCAGGCTAGCCTACTCAGCACAGCAAGACTCTGCCTCAAAAAAAAAGGTTTTTTTCAGTCCAGAATAGATTTACAGATCTGGAATTCAGGTTTAGTTAGACAGAACCAGCATTCCTCAGAGAGCAGGTGAACTTGGGCTTTCACACACACAAAAATAAATTGGGTAGCTCAGTTTAGCATTCTTTGCAGGAGATAAAATCCCATAGGTATCAAATGGCTGCATCTCTTTCAGAACTTTCTCTTGAATTCCATATATCTTTGTATTTTAATGCTAAGCTACACTAGCTTCCTTTATCTTTTATAGTACACATTTAATCTTTTAGATGAACTTTTTAATCTTCCCATCAATTTCTTTTAAAACTTGGGATTTGTTCAGGGCTTTATTAAATATAACATTTAATAACTATACAGAGCTTTATAAAGGATTAGCTTTTTTAAAATATTGAGTTTTCTTTTTTTGCTTTTTGTTTTTTTGAAACAGGGTCTTGCTCTGTAGGTCAGGCTGGCCTTAAACTCACTGTGTAGCCCATGCTGGCCTCAAAACAAGGTAATCCTCCTGGCTCAGCCTCCCCAGTGCTGGGACTACAGGCATATACCACCACACTTGGCATAATCATTTCTTTTCTTTTTTGTGGTACTGGCAGTTGGACCTACACCCTCATGGACGCTAGGCAAATGCTGTAGTGCTAAGCTACATCCTGAGTCCTACGTTTTCTTATCCAAGAACGAAATGATTTTTCTCCATTTAAGGGCCTCATAGTTTTTTATGTTTTGTTTTTTTTTTTGGTACCGGAGATCGAACTCGGGTCCTTGAGCTTGCAAAGCAGGCAGGGGAACCACTGCGCTAAATCCCCGGCCCCAAGGGCCTCATAGTTTAAATGTGGGCTCTTAAATTTATCTCTAGATATTTGAAGTTTTCTATTTTTTTTTTTCAGTTGCTCTTGTGAATGGGATTTTTAAAATTAATTTTATTGGTATACTTTTGACATACATAATAATCATAGGGAATCTGTACTTGTACATAAACATGTGTGTCCAATTAATTTCATTTAAAATTATGTTCTCAAGGTGCATCCATTTACCTTAAAATGTCTCAAGTTTATCCTTCTTTTTGGCAGTGTAGTACTCCATTGCATGTAAAAACATTTTCTTTATCCATTCAGCTGTTGATGCGCTTCTGTTTCCAAGATTTACCTGTGAATGGGATAATTTTCTCTAAATAGGTTAGTGTTGATATCTAAGGAAGTTGTTTATTACGTTAACTTTGTTGCTTCTTTCTTTACTGAACTTTACTTGTTCTAGTAACATTTTTGTTTTCTTCCTGTACCCGTCATTCCTACTTTAAGTCATTCCTACTTTAATCGTTTGAAGTTTTTTGTTTGGGGATTTTTTTTGTTTTGTTTTGTATTGCTGGGGAGGGAACCCAGGGCCTTCCACATGCTGGGCAAGTTCTTCACCGCTGAGTTATATCCCCAGTCCCTGGTTTGAAATTCTTAGGGTAGCAGTATTTAGGGGTAAGGGGAAGAAGATAAGAAAAATTGGAAGAACATCTCATTTTATCTTGTGCTACTTGTCATTACTACCACAGTATAAATGGATTTTAAAATCCATGAAATCCGAAGGGTCCAATAGGAATACCTAAGCATTTACCTAATGAATTGTAATGATTATGGGAATTTCTCTTTCAGTGAGCAGCTCTTCATGCAGATGGCAGAGCTCATGGTCTCAGATGGCTGGAAAGATGTAGGTTATGAGTACCTCTGCATTGATGACTGTTGGATGGCCCCCCAAAGAGATTCAGAAGACAGACTTCAGGCAGACCCTCAACGCTTTCCTGGTGGAATCCGCCACCTAGCTAATTATGTGAGTTTATAGATCAGTGGTGGTGAACCTATGGCACATGTGCTGCAGTGGGCTGTTATTGAAAGCTTTAAGAGGTTTGCCATAGCTGTTATAGATTAATTTGTTTTTTTAATCCAAGGGTTTTGTAAGGACTTTTGTCGATCAACAGTCCTCATGACAGAATGACTGTTATCGGAATGTTGAACTGTAAGGCTTATCAGGCGGTATTTTCATCCCATCAGCATATACATGTTTTGCAGTAGTTGGGGTTTTTTTCTCTCTTGTTTTTTTGGTTTTTGGTTTTTGAGACAGGGTCTTGCTATGTAATGCAGGCTGGCCTTTGAACTCACTATGTAGCCCAGGGTGGCCTTAAATTCATGGTGATTCTCCTGCCTCAGCCTCCCAAGTGCTGGGATTACAGGTGTATGCTTTGCAGTAGTTCTTGAGGCCTTTTGTTAAGACCATCAAATTTTCTGAGAAGAAAAAGGAACTTGGTTCTCTTCACATGTGTGGATGTGTTCACATATAAGCTTTAGGCAGCAATTGCAGTTCAATTGTAAACTAGAATTTTACAAGATAGAATTATAATATTCTGGAGATTATTGAAGACAAATAGGGCCTAACACTAGCTAAAGTTGATGAAGATAGATTTTATTCAGTACTGTTGCAGTGGAGGAAAGAGACATACTCAAATCCAAATGCAACAAAGACAAGTGAGGGTTTATATCCAAGGACAGATTGAGGAGGTCAGTAGATGAAAATTTACTAAAGGTAGAAGGGCTAACTTAGCATGATGCTTGCTCTAACAGCTTTCTAGGACAGACACAGCCAAGGCCAAGGTGAAAAGAAGGCTCAGAGAGCCTAACTAAATTTTATTGAAGGAGAGAGTCTTTGTTGAAATAAATCTGTTACTGGCCTGGGGATGTAGCTCAGTGGCACTGCCTCACAAGCACAAGGTCCTGAGTTCGACACCCCACCCCACCCCCGCCAAAAAAGAAATCTGTTACTGTCCCAGAAAGGTACCTTTTAGTAACCCCTCAAGAAATTAGAGTAGCTGATAGCATTTTCTTCAGTGCTGTGCTATAGCTCACAGATAGTTTAAACTTCGCAGAATTGAGGGATTTGTTCTTTGTCTCCCAACAGACTCATCTGGAAAATGAAAATGAGGGCTCATGAAAAAAGGCTCCCAATACCTAGTGAAGCACACTTGTCTCTGCCCCTGGCCTGGAGTGGGTCTCTCTGCTTCTTCATGATTGTCCTTGTATTTGTAGTAACTTTTTCTTCTCATTTCAGGTTCATAGCAAAGGGCTGAAGCTAGGGATTTATGCAGATGTTGGAAATAAAACCTGCGCTGGCTTCCCTGGAAGTTTTGGACACTATGACCTTGATGCCCAGACCTTTGCTGACTGGGGAGTAGATCTGCTAAAATTTGATGGTTGTTACTGTGACAGTATAAAGCATTTGGAAAACGGTATGTTTCAATCGAGAGATTTAGCCATAACCAAAGGGAATAACTTTGAGGCCAAGGTAGCTAAGTATCCAAAGAACTACTCTTCAGATTTTAAAAACCCAGTCACAGTATTGGAAATAATCCTTCTCAATGTGCCAGAACTCCTACTTCTTTTCTTTCAGTGTTTTTATTTATTCACTTATTCATGTATGTGGAATCTGTGCATGCCTAACCATGGCTAATATTGTGCACTTTTAATTCAAGAGGGCTCTAAGAATTAAATACAATTAATAATTGTAACTCTTTGTAACATCATTTAGGAAAAAGTCCAGGATGTCACAGTCACAGAGAAATCATCTTTATTCTTGCTTTTCCTCAATATACACACCATCTCTGTGCTGCCTCCTCAGAACAATCCCAGTAGTCTAGAAGATACTCCATGTAATTTATATACAAAGCAACAACCTGTCCCTGGCACTGGTTTAAAATGTAAACATGGACCTTCCAGAAACCTCCTCAAATATACAGCCCCAACTGGAAATTCCATTCTTTCCTTTATTTTACCCGTTGTTTTTTCATACAGGTTATAAATATATGTCCTTGGCCTTAAACAGGACTGGCAGAAGCATTGTATACTCCTGTGAGTGGCCTTTTTATCTGTGGCCCTTTCATAAGGTAAGCTAGTGAGCCCAGGATCTGATTTTCAGAACTTGACAACTAAAGAAACAAAATTCTTCAAAGCCCAACCACTTTTCAACACTGCTATAATTATCCTCTAAACTGTCACCACCTAGCAAGTCATCTTTGATTCTTTCTTTTATCTCACCATTCATGCCTCATCCATCAGCAGTCCTTCCTAGCTCCAAAATATCTTGAATCAGCCCACTTCTTTTCATCACTGCATCCACTCTGGCCTTCCAAGCCATCTTATCTCTCACCTAGACTGCTATGATGGCCTGATCTACTTCTACTCTTTCTCCACCCTCATCTGTTTTCCAAGCGGCACCTGAGTTATCTTGTTAAAATGTCAATGGGATTTTATCACTCCCCTACCTAAAACCTTTAACTGGCTTCCCACTGCACTTGGAATAAAATCAAACTCCATTGATCTGGCCCTTACCTGCCTCAGGAGTGATTGCTTTTTCTTTCACTACAGTGGTTTTCTTTCTACCCCTTGAACACCACTATCACTTTTACACTTGCTTTTTATTTTCTGCAGGGAACCTTCTTCCCCCAAGATATTTAAAGGGTCAGCTCGTAACACTAAAGTCTCAGACCAGATAGCACATTCATTTTAAAGTAGCACTCTGTCCATTCATTCTTTATCACATTAACCCATTTAATTACCTAAGAGCTTAGCATTATATAGGATATTTGTTGATTTGTGGAATATAAATTTGTGAGGTCAGGTACCTTCTCTGACTGTATCCCTGAATCCCTAGCTTATGATATGTGTTGAATAATTATAGATTGGATCTCTATTATTTTCTTGAACTCTCTGGAAAAGTTTCACCTTGTCCTCAACATAAACCTGATATCCCACTTACCTATTTACAAACTTTTATTCATTCCATTAACAAATTTTATATATATATATATATATATATATCTGAATATATATTATAGTCAGATCTCACTATGTTTGATGGAGTCCTGTATCATTTTGCAGCTGTTTTTACTTGTTGAAATCATTTTATTAGCCAGGAGTGGTGGCACACACCTGTAATCCCAGCACTTGGGAGGCTGAGATGGGAGGATCACTATGAGTTCAAGGCCAGCTTAGGCTACATAGTGAGCTCAAAAGCAGCCTGAACTCAAGATCCTGTCTCAAAGCAAACAAAATAAGATATCATTTTATTAGAAAAGCTTGAAAATACAGTGACCTCTAAAGAAAATTAGAATCTTCCATAATGCCAAAACCTACCATTTGGTAAGTTTCCAGCATAAACAGTATTAAGGTCACTTTAGGGATTTTTAAATTATATGGTCTACTTCTGAAGGCAAATTTCTTACAATAAAATTCCCTTATATTCAGACTTCCTCATGAAGATCTTCAATCTATAAACTAAAGAGAAGTGGCCTCCTTTAAATTGGACAGTTTTCATCTCACAATATTATAAAGTAAATAAGAGCCCTGTTTTCACAGCCCAATTATACAACTATCCGACAGTACTGCAATCACTGGAGAAATTTTGTTGATGTTTCTGATTCTTGGGAAAGTATAAAGAGTATCTTGGACTGGACATCGTTTCACCAGGAGAAAATTGTTGATGTCGCTGGACCAGGGGGTTGGAATGACCCAGATATGGTAAGGATCTGAGCATTCCTTTTCGAAGGGTCTATAACAGGCCTATTTCCTCTTACACATTCAGGGTAAATACAGATAAAGTTCCTGGGAGTAGGCTTTCTGTGAGAGTATAGAGAGTAGGGTGGTATGGAAGTGGCTCCTATGGGTCATCCAGATAGCTTTAAAAATGTTTCCATCTTCTTTCGTTGAATTATTTCATTCTTTGTCCTAGTTAGTGATTGGTAACTTTGGCCTCAGCTGGGATCAGCAAGTAACTCAGATGGCCCTCTGGGCTATCATGGCAGCTCCTTTACTCATGTCCAATGACCTCCGACAGATCAGCCCTCAAGCCAAAGATCTACTTCAGAATAAGGATGTGATTGCCATCAATCAAGACCCCTTGGGCAAACAGGGGTACCGCCTTAGAAAGGTATAGTAAATAATGTTCCGTGGGAGAAAATATGCTAGGAGCATGTTCTTCTGCTTCTGGTTTACAACTAATCCAAGAGTTTGAGTGGGTTTTGTTATTTTGGTTTTGTTTTTTTTCGGTACCGGGGATCGAACTCGGGTCCTTGCGTCTGCTCAGCAGGCAGCAAAAAACCACTGAGCTAAATCCCCGGCCCGGGTTTTGTTGTTTTTGTTGGTAATAGAGATCAGATCCAGGACCTTTACACTGAGTTATTATCCCCTTTTCTTTTTTTAGTTGGAGACAGAGTCTTGCTAAATTGCCCAGGTTGGGCTTGAACTTGTGATCCTCCTATCTCAGCCTCTCAGAGTGCTGGGATTAAAAGCCTGTACCACCATGCATGGCTTTGGGTGTATATTTTAAAGTGGCTTTTATGCCCAAGCACCAAGTTTTTCTTAAGCCTAAATCTGTCACATAGGAGCATAGGACTGATATTTTGAGAACATTTGTTTTTTGTCCTTTATCTTGATGCTGTAATCAGTAGTAATAAGACTTCTTGCTAGAACTATTATTTTCAAAATGTGCTACAGGATTTTAATTCTTCCTATAAATGCTTTCTGGTTCTGACAAGACTGATTGCAAACTAACAAGGCAGTTTATTGCTGTTATCAAGCAGTCACATCTATTTTCTTGGCTTTTCAGGAAGACAACATTGAGGTGTGGGAACGACCTCTCTCAAATTTAGCTTGGGCTGTAGCTGTGAGAAACCTGCAGGAAATTGGTGGACCTCATTTTTATACTATCACAATTGTTTCTCTGGGTCGTGGCGTGGCCTGTAATCCTAGCTGCTTCATTACTCAACTCCTTCCTGTGAAAAGGGAGCTGGGGTTCTATGAGTGGACTTCAAGCTTCAAAACGCAAATAAATCCCACAGGCACTGTTTTACTTCGGCTAGAAGCCACCAGAATGCTTCAAAAAAATTAAATGTGCTTTAAGATGTGTATTTTGCCAATGTGACTACCCCACTTCCTGTCCACAATCTTCATCCATTTCCACCTAAAAAGCTAGATTCCCTTAAATAAAATTTCTCAACATTGGAATTTTCTTTTTTGCAGTCTTAACGCTGGCACCCTACCACTAAGCTACACTCCCAACTCCCAAGATGGAACCTGTAAAAACTACTTCTAAAGGTATAAGGACAACAGTTTGGAAAAGGCTTTTGAAACTACTGTTCTAAGAAATAATAGCTATAATTTATTGGGTATTTCTGTGCCAGGCACTGTAATGGACAGAATGTTACTGATTCATTTTAACTCAACAATACCCTCAAAGCAAGTGTTTACTCACTGTAAATTGCAGAGGCAGGATTTAAACCCAAGCTCTTAACCATTGTACTGCTGCCTAATGAGGTACTTGGGTGGATATTTACAATATTAATGTAAAGAGAAAATTAAATGTGTTTCCTTAGGTGAAGGGCAAAAAAGTTGCTAGGCAAGAATAACCCCAGGTTGTAAACTGTATCTAATAAATGACTACTTACTCTCACCAAGAATAACCAGATACATTATAACCTAAGATACAAAACCCACCACCACCCTTTAAAATGAACTGTCTTACTTCATATGAGGCAGTGATTTTCAAATAAGGGTATTCAGACACAGAAAACTTAAAAGGGAATTTCTACTTTTTTTCAGGTAGGGTCTTAACTAAATTACCCAGGCTGGATTCAAGTTTATGACCTGCCAGCCTCCTTAAGTGTTGGGATTACAGGCATGCGCTATCATGTAATCAACACTCTTTAATTCCCTACTTCTCCTGTTTTGCCTGAGAACAAACCTATAACCAACCACCCTTCTCCCAGGAGCAGAAAATATTTAAAAAGTATATACCTCACCCATCTTGAATGTGCACACAAGAGAAAGGCCCATCTGAAATACAAAAGTGCATGTTGGAATAATTTTACCCATCAGGTAATTACCAATCTTTATTTTCACCAAAATTTGAGGACTAATATGTTCTTGGTTCATTTAAAAAGTTGTGATTAAAATTACTAAACCTAAGAGGCGGGGCTTTAGCTCAGTGGTTTCGCTGTCTGCTGTGCAAGTGCAAGGACCCGAGTTTGATCCCTGGTACCAAAACAAAAAAAAATTACTAAACCTAAACCAGGTGTGGCAGCACATGCCTACAATCCCAGCACTAAGGGAGGCTGAGGCAGTAGGATCGTTGAATTTGAGGCCAGCCTGGACTACATAGATCTTGTCTTGGAAAAAGTCATTAAACCTGTACATGTCCATAGATACACAAACTAATTTAGAAAACTGCTCTGCTTTGTTGAGATGCACCTCCAGTTATGAAAATTATATAGTATATTTGTTTTACCCTACAGTTTTGCTGAAATACAAAGAGCTCACCATCAGCAAGAATGAAGTGTAAGAACATATAATTTGAAACTATATCAAGACACATTAATAAAAATCCCTGATTAAGACTGCTTGGGGCACTCAACAGGCTGAAAGTTGTATGTTCCAGTCTTAAAAAACGGAGGGGGAGTTTGTATGTATAAGTCTAAAGAACATACATTATATAATACATATAATCTATTGGTGCCTGAAAAACACAACCAAAATTCCTTATCAAAGGCCTTAAATACCAGTATGTTAAAATTATTCAACTCTTGATGTACTTTAGTCACTATGGCTATATTACTGACCTGTCCCCATTATCCTGAAACATGTCACTTAGGTAACATAACCAACTACTTTTTAACAGCAAAGGATCCCATGACAGCCCAAGGGCTTAAAGATTAGATAATCACAACATTTGATGAGAGCTCAGACAGTCAAATTCAATCAAATACTAAGAACCACAAAGCATGAATTTCTCACGGGAAATTTTGTTGATGGCTCTAGCTTACTTCTTCCCAAAAGACAAAGTACAACCAATGAAGTGAACATGGCTAGGTTTTATTTGTCTTCATAATAAAACAAAAGATGAAGCTTAGAACTGGATCACTTGGCCCTGTAACAAAAAAAAAAAAAAATTGAGTTTTGTATTTCCTGAGGAGATCACCATGCTATATTAGAGCAAGTCTTTTATTCTTCCTATTGTTTGAAACTTTTTGAACATCAACATGATGCTTATGTTGATGCTAAAAAAGTTTTGGATTTTGGACCAAGAATATTGCCAAACATTTCAGATAAGGGATATGTAACCTGACCCTTCAGCTACAGATGGCAGTTTTTTGAGAAGCACCTCAGATCTCTGTGCCACCATGAGCAGAAATAAATGTTCACCTCTCCAAATAAACCTGTAAGAAATGAACTGTACCTTTCTCTTCTTATCTCCTCCCAGTTCAAAATGCTTGCATCTCTTAATAGCCAGCATTCTCTTAGATCTGCAGTTGGGTTCAACACACTCAAGCCTCAGCACAATCTTCTTTGTAGTTTTGGCCTGTGAAAAAAGTCAAATCCATCAGAAAATCACCTCCTTAAAAAATAATGACTAAGCTGGGCGTGATGGTGCCTGGCTGTAATCCCAGTACTTGAGAGGCTCAGGCAGGAAGATCGCTGCAAGTTTGAGGCCAGCCTGTGCTACACAGTGAGTTCAAGGTCAGCCTCAACTACACAGTGAGAACCTGTCTCAAAAACCCAAGACTAGGCCTGGGATTTAGCTCAGTGGCTCCGCCACCTGCCTGGCAAACGAAAGGTCCCAAGTTCAATCCCCAGTACCAACAAAAAACAAACACACAAAAACCCAAGACTATGTTAGGTTCAGTGCTACTTAAAGCTTTGCAGATAGACTTCAAAATATTTAGCTAGACAGAGAAAATAACACCCTAGAGAGCTTATCAGTTAGGCTCTAATCATGTTTCCTTGAATTTGTGGCCTTTCAGATCTGCAGTTCGTTAAGTATTTCACGCAATCAAAAAATGAATTAAAGGGCTGGGGATTTAGCTCAGTGGTTCCACCACCTGCCTCGAAAGCACAAGGTCCTGAGTTCGATCCCCAGTACAAAAAAAAAAAAATGAGTTAATTCAAGTTATGCTCTTCACTAATATTCAACTTTTTAAGCCTGCCCCTTTATAAAGCTAGAATTCTCCTGCTAGTCTCCAGTTTTTCAGAAAGCCAAAACCTTCCCATATTCTAAGTTACATAAACTTGCAAAGGAACTTTTTTTTCACTGTACCTAAATGCAGTCATTAACATTTCCTGGAACCAGGTAAGAACAAAGTGCTAAGAAATGTTGGAGGGAATGCCCTGTTTCAGGCAATGTGGTAACTACTTGCCTTGTGCATGTCAAGCAAGCACTACCAGTGAGGTACATCCCTAGGCCAAGTAACAATCTCCTCCTCTTATTTTGCAGGGCTAGGGGTGACACCCTGGACCTCACCCATGCTAGGCAATCAATGGACCACTGAGTGCTAAGTACTTAAACATGATGATAGAACAGGACAAATGAAAGGACTTACTAGCATACTCACTTCAGTTCTTAAACAAGAAGTAAACATTCCTTGACTTTTGACTCTTCAAAAAGGAAAAAAAAAAAAAAAAAAGGTACACTATTGTAAACTAGAGTCAGACCTGGGCTGTACTCCCAGCTCCATTACCTGTCACCACAGCCTGCAGTAACTTTGCTGATATTAATGGTAGTGATGTGTGTAGACTATAGAGATAACAAAATGTACCCAAGAAACTTATTAGTAACCACTACTAACCTTTTTCCGGAAAATCGGCTTAGTCTGTCCACCATAGCCACTCTGCTTCCTGTCATAACGCCGCTTTCCTGGGGGGGGGGGGTTATTCGTTGATATAATAAGACCATAAATCACAAAACACATGAAGTCTTAATGGGTTTATATCTAGGGCTTTCCAGCTGAAGGTTTAGAAAAAAAAAAAACTTTCCAAGCACTCTGGGAGCCTGAGGCAGAAGGAGCCAAAGGTAAATTCAGCCCGGGGAACTTAGCCAGACCTTGTCTCAAAAAGGACTGGGGATGTAGTTTAGTGCAAAGGCCCTGGGTTTAACCCCCAATACTGAGGAAAATTTGAAGGAAAAAAAAAAAGTGGGCTTGTAGTACACTTCACAAATGCCACACCAAAAGCAAATTACACAGAAGCTGTCTCACCCTGGGCGTACAGAGAATCCTTGCCTTTCTTGTACTGTGTCACTTTGTGGGGTTGGTGCTTCCCACACTTCTTACAGAAAGTTCGCCGGGTTTTAGGAACGTTCACCTAGTAAACAGTTCAGAACGTTAAGTTTTATCATATTACATTAACAGCTGAATAATCCCACGACTCGACTTCTAACTCTGTATAACACACGACTCCATAACTGACAAAAAGGTGCTCCAGACCCATTGTGCTTCACGCTTAGTGTTCTCCGTTAGCCCCAAAGAGCGAGATCTTATTTACTCCACCCACAAATCAGCCTCATCGATCCCTGACCTCTGAGCCCGGTCCCTTAAGGGGTCGATCCCGACAATGCCGGGTTTCTTTGCTACAGTGGAGTCACGCAGGCACCTGGACTTATCCAGAGAGAGTACCGCTGACGCGGGGCATAAGGATTAAACGGGATATTACTAGGGACCTACCATGCTTGCAGGAGCGCTACCAGCCCGGAAAGAAAGAGGCTGGGCCGGAAACGGAAGTATATGGGAGATTCTGGGTCGCACTTCTTCATGGGAGTCGGAGGGAGCGGCCGTAGAGCCTCCTGCTCAGTGCGTCGCGCCCTCCAGTGGCTGAGAGAACTTGATTTGGAGCCGCTGGTGGGAGTTTCAGAAAGGACTCTCCCTTAATTCTGGTCCACTGTGAACTTGCTCCTGCCTCAAAACTTTGCAACTTTTTGTTACAGAATTTCAAAACTTTTGGCAGACCCAGATTCTCTGGCCTCGCTGTCTCGGAGGGAAGCCCGAACTAGTGTGGAGTGGACCCGAACTAGTGTGGAGTGGAGAGACACTCCATCCCGTTCCACTGCAAGAACACTGGGAACATCTTTCGCAGCGAACTGTTGGCTCAGTGAAGGCTCTGAGGGAGGCAACTGCTCCAGTTCGTTTATCACATGGTCAGCTGGTCCATTCAGCAGATGTTTATTGAATGTCTATTCTGTGTCAGGCACTGTTCTAGTGGAGAGACACAATAATATGCTCATTAATGTAAATTATGGACTGAATACTTTGAAGAAAAGGATCAGTGATCTGCACTAAAGCTGCACCTTTTATGCTGAGGGAATAAGTTGGATGCTGTAGGTTCTGAAAAGTTGCAGTGAAATTGTTCAGCCTGCAACAGCAGTGATCGTGCCGAGAGAGAACTTATCCAGCAGCTCCTCCCTTCCCTTCCCTACTTGGCAGCGGGCAGGTACTAGGTTTCAAGGCAGTCCAGCAAGCTGGGCGTGGTGGCGCCCACCTATAATTCCACTATTCTGGATGCTGCTGTGAGGCAGGAGGATCACAAGTCCAAACCCAGCCTGGGCAACTTACTTTGCAAGACCCTATCTAAATAAGGATGTAGCTCCGTATAAGGGCCCTGGTTTCACTCCCTTAGTACTGCTGAGGGGAGAGAAGGCTGTAGACAGAGACTGGGGAGTGCTGAGATTTAAATGTGCTGTCTCATACAATTCACACAGTAATTCTAGAATGTAGGTGGTATTATTAGTCTCATTTTACAGATGAGGTAATTGAGACTGTGGGATGTTAAATTATTTGCTCAATGTCAAAAGTATTTAGTAAGGGTCGGGGATTTAGCTCAGCGGTTCCAGCACCTGCCTCCAAAGCCCAAGGTCCTGAGTTCGATCCCCAGTACCAAAAAAAAAAGTATTTAGTAGATCCAGGATACAAACCCAAGTAATTTGGTTTCAGAGGTTTTTTCCTGTTTTCAGACAGGGTCTCATTACAGTATATTGCTCAGGGTATCTCCTATTCATAATTTTCCCTCACCACAGCCTCCTGAGTGGCTGAGATTATAGGCTCACACCACCAAATCAACCCTGGGTTCTTTTCCATTATAAAATATTGCTGTTGTGGCCTGTGAATTATAATAGCTAACAATAATGGAATACGCTAGGTGTTCTTCTAACCGGCTAACATACAACTTCTTTTAAACTTAACCCCAGGAGGCATGTACCATTATTAGCATTTAACAGGTGAGGGAACTGAGGCATAAAAGGTGTTAAATTCACTTACCTGAAGTCACACATGTGGTTATTTTTAGCTAGAAAGTGGCTTTCACTTAACCACTACATCACTTGGAAATAGGAAAATCTGCAGGGTACAGAATGGTGAGAAAAGAATTGGGCTGGGATCCAGGAAGTGCACTATTAGGAGCCTAAGGAATTACAGCTAAGGAACTATGAGAGCTTGGAGTATCCTGCTTTCATAATGCTCCAGGAATACCCACGAATCCTGAGCTGACTCTCTGATCACTCTTTTTTTGTTGTATGGTCGGTGGGATTAAGACAATAAAAACATTTACCACTATCTGATACATTTCCTAAAAGTTTCTCTGCCAAACTGCTAGCCTCAAGTCTTACAGCATTTTTCTCTATCTAGACTCTTTTAAGCAATCCCACTGACTTTTAGAAAGTTAAAGGCTTTTTATGTTACTAATCGGGAAATATAAAGACAGTGAATGAACATAGCTCTTCTTCATCCCATCAACCTTTGTTCTATCATTTCCCATGTGACACTGCTTGAGTTTTGTTATTGTTGTTTTGTTTTTCAGTATTGGAGATCGAACCCAAGACTTTCACATCCCCAGCCACCCCCCCCCCTTTTTTTTCTTTTTCTTTTTTTTTTTTTTTTTTTTTTTTGGTACCGGGGATCGAACTCGGGACCTTGCGCTTGAGAGGCAGGCGCCGGAACCACTGAGCTAAATCCCTGGCCCCCCTTTTTTTTGCTTTGAGACAGGGTCTCACTAAGTAGCTAAGTTGCCCAGGCTGGGTTTGAATTTGTGATCCTCCTGCCTCAGCCTCCCACAGTGCTGGAATTACACGTGTGCACCACCACCGCTGGCTCATTTTAAAATATTTAATTGAAAATTACATAGGCTCAAGGTATGCAATGTGATGATTTGATATACATATATATTGTGTGGTGATTACCACAGTCAAATTACTTAACATGTCCATCACTACCCAAACTTACCATATTGTATGTGTGTGGTGAGGACACAAATCTGCTGTCATCACATTTCAGTAAACAATACTGTATTATTAACTACAGTCACCATGCTGTGCATAAAATCCCCAGAACTTACACATCTTATCACTGAAAATTTGTATGCCAACCCTGGTCTGTGTTTTGGAATTGCTCCTGCTCATTAATTTCCCCTAAACTGAGGCACTCAGAATTTAACACAGGACTTTAGGTGTGGCCTGATCTTGCAAAGTAAGTAGCAGGTCCACTTTTAAATATTTTACTTCTTTTTCATGTTTTCTTTCTTTTTATAATATATTTTATTAGTGTCTTAATTTTACAAAATATTGAATTTCAATGTGGTATTTTCATATATGCATATATTTTGAATACATACATCCTCTCTATTACCTATCCTTTTACCACCAAATGCATTCCCCCTTGCCTTCCTCTTATTCCTTTCTTCCTGGCTAATCATAGTTTCCCTCTACTTTCATTTCACTTTTTATAGATTCCATATATTAGTGAAAACAGATGATACTTGACTGAGTCTGGCTTGTTTTGCTTACTATGATGATTTCCTGTTCCATATACTTTTGTGCAAATGATATAATTTCTTCTTTACCACTGAATAATACTCCATTGTAAACTCATACCACATTTTCTTCTTTTAACTTTTTAAAATGCTCTTTTGGTTTTTTGAGACAAGGTCTCACACTATGTAGTCCAGGCTGTTCTTGAACTCATGCAATCCTTCGACCTCAGCCTCCCAAGTGCTGGGATAACAAGTGTGCACCACCACGCCTGGCCACATTTTCTTTATCCATTCATCTGTTGATGGGAACTTATGCTGGTTCCATACTAGATATTTTACTTCTAAAAGAAAGCCAAACATCACCTTGGCTTTTCTGGCAGCCGTGTTATCAGCATGACATTTCTCTTGGATACTGTCGGCTTTTAAAAACCACTGAAGCATTTTTACAAATTTTACTGCTACCCAACTTTCACCTGGAGTCACACCAGGTAATCAAGGTCTTTTGGGGCACTAATTTCCCTGCTTCAGTCATGCAAGATACCTCATACAACATTACACCATTCACAGATTAGCTAGGCTACTTTCTTCATTTTCTTCAAAGGTCATTAATAGAAATGTTGAACAGGATGGCACCAAGAACTGAACTATATATTACATTGAGGATCTCTTGAGGTGACACTAGGTGATTTCATTTGCACTATTTGGACGCAGTCCTATTGATATGGATGAATATTGTAGGGAAACAGCCGTGAAGAAGAGCCTAGGTTCACTTTGCCCTTTCCCTTGTCCTCTTTTCTGTCTAGATCTCCCACTGTGTGCCTATCAACTCCCAGTCCCCACCCCAAGTTGGACCTTGAGAAGAGATGGGGCATGTGACAGCAATGTGACAGCAATATGACAACAAGCAGCATTTCACTGAAGAAAACAAATGGGAATGTGAATGCCTGTGACCAACTTTCACACAGTGACTGGAACAGCTATTATAGGTGGCTAGGGAAAGAATATAACTTGTCAGTGAGGTAGGGAGATCCATACAACACTTGCTTCCCATCTATCTTCTGCAGATATGAGTATTAATCACCACCATCCTACAAATGCATTTTTTTAAATCCTGTTGCCTTAAAAATTCTGACAGACTTGTGGAATCTGGTGTGTTTCTGCATTAAGGTACAGAGCTTCAGGGCAAGAAACTATAGGAGTGCCCATGAGTCAAGGTAAACAAGCAGATCAGTCACCAGTGGCTCTGCGACGATTGTGGACTGCAGCATTCCAGCTGCATTTCCTCAGAGAATCCTTGGGTAGAAGATTATAGCAAGAACTTAAGCTAGAAGGCTGCTGGAGAAACACCCACACTTTGAGTAAAACACCTAGTATGGTTTATTGCTTTACAGGATTAAAGGGAAAACTGTAAATTGTTAATTTCTCAACCTTAAACGAAGAAAATCAACACTCACAGAAAATGGGGAAGGGCATAAGTCTGTGCGTGGGCTTATATTCTGGCATTTTATCTGTAGAAAGAATGCTTTCTTAGAAAATGACTCAGCGGGGAAGTCTTGTCTCTACACCTGTTGGGCTGTGTACTTTGGGGTCTCTTTGTGAGTACTCTCTATCCTTCACTCTTAAGTTTAACTCTGTGATCCTGAGTCTCCTCTGCCTCAAAGAATAGGAGACTCTAAAGATATTCTTCTTGGGCAATCTCTTTGTTCTGTCTCCACCAGCATGGGCATGTCTCTTTCCTGTAGGCCTGCTCTTACTGTTTGACTATTCCTATAGTGCTTTAAGTATACTGTCCCTTTACTTCCAAGCAGGCCGAATGACAGCCTGTCTGCTCAGCCCAGCCCCGTCTAGTCTCAGTGACCCTAGTAATGGTGAGAAAAGTTCTTTCAGAGCTGGTCTCCAGATAGTAATGTCAGAGGTCCCAAGCAAATGAGGGGCGGGGACAGTTGGGGGGGGGGGTGGAATAAGGACAGCAGCAGGGAACCAGATACCATGCTGCTGAGAAGAAAAAAAACGACATTGGTTTTAAGCCAGGAAACAAAAAAAGGGAACTGAGTGGCTGTGAAAGGGTGGGGTTTGTTCAGACTGTCCTTCCTCTCTGGACTGTAAGAATATGTGTCCAGGGCCAGTGTCTTCAGAGACCGAGTCCAGCCTTCCAAGTTCTGGCATCTCAATGCATCTGGGAAGCTATCTGCATTAAATCAGGACTGAGGTGAGTCTGGGGAAGGCAGGGAATGGGAGGCAACAACATTTACCTTTCTTGGGATCCCTAAAGGCCAGAGAGAAAGCATGGCTGATGTCATACATCTGCCAGCTGAGGAAGCTGATAAGGGTGGGAGTATCATTAGTACAAGGCCTGGGCAGACCTTTCCGGTGATTAGAGGTCTGTAACGGTCCTTTCTGAGAAGGGCTGTGGAGGAAACGAGCAAAATGTGACCGGTAACTATCTGAACAGGTAGCAAATGTTGAAAAAACACCTTTGCAAAACTTGGTGGAAAAGAAATATTGCCAAGTGGCTGTGGAGTAAAAGCAAGCCCTTAAGTCAAATATTGCTTGAATACCCAAAATGTATAATTGTGTCAGGGAAGCCCTCAGAAGAAGAAATTCTAGGAGGGAGCTTATCTGAGAAAATGGTAAAAGCTCACATGCCACAATAGGCAGTTTGACCTGGGGAAAGGCCCCAATTGTCTAATGATGTAGCATACCTGTGAGGTCTTGCATCAGGCCAAATATTGCCAGGATCAGAGCTAGCTTGTTGCAAGGATTATGTGGAAGCTGCACCAACCTCATGGTAATTATGGGTAAGATAAGAGGCCAGAAGAAAGTAGCCTCAGCTCAGCCCAGACAATGTGGCCAACCCCTGAGGTTCTGGTATACTTTCTTCTCTTACCATTGCCCACCATGTGCATGGCTTACTTTTCTCTTATCTTCATTATTTCTCCTTTCATTTCTTCTCTTTTCCTCCTCCTTCTCTCCCTTTTGCTACCTATATCCCCCCTTTTTACATTCTTCTTTATTTTGTTCATTACCATATCCTCTGACACAGAGCACTTAATAAATAATTGGTGAATTACAGTACATTGAATTTTTCTTGCCCTTTTATTCTCCAGCTCTTTTTCCTTTTCCTTTCTCCCTCCCTATGTGCCCAGTACCTTTCTTTAGGGTTGTTGTGAACAGTTAATGTGTACATAAATGTAAACCAGTTAACACAGGGCCTGGTAATGGTAAGTGGCTATATTGCAGCATTTGCTATTATTTTTATTATACCTAAGACCTGCCAGTGTCCCCATAGGGCCTACCTAGAACAAATGGTGTGGTATTTAGAATAAAAGGGATTTAGAATAAAGGGACCCTGATCAAGGCATTCTTAGATGAGTTGTCAGACCTCCAATTTCCCTGCTACCCAGCTCTTTAAGCTGAAGTCTCTATCCATTCCTTGCATTTCTAGAGGCAGGGCCACAGCAAAGACCAGAGGAGGGTTAGGAAGGATGTCTACAGAGCTCAGGGGCTGTTCTCTCTGCTCTTAATTGTGCATTACTTCTGTTCCTTCCCTCATTTTGCGTGCCAAGTCACTGAAGCAAGAGTCCTACAGGCTCTCTGGAGCTCCAGTCATTTGATAAAACAATGTCACACACCAAATAAGCCACAAAATGCCAGTACCCATGAAAACCTAAAACATTACATCTAAACAGTATCCTTTAGGGATTTCCCTATCTGCTGTATTCTGACCCCTTTTATATTCAATTTTAACTACTTGCTTGTGTTAAAATCCAAATTCCTGTTGCTTGTGGCTATTGATGTTTTCATTTAGAATTCTTTGTAAACCCCTTAAGATAGGACTAGTGTAACTTTCCATCCATTTCAGGAGTATTGGTGCATTTTTAAATATCACTATGATTCGTTATTTCCATTCAAGCAAATTTCCCATAGAGTTTCCTTTCAGTGGACTAGACCCATACCAGGAAGTCACTTGGGTATACAGGGAAGATACAACTTTTGAAAACTAAAGTTTGGGTCTTTTCCAAAAAGTCGTCAGATACCTGCTATTTTCCTCTCGGTGATACTGAGATGTGATTGCTAACTCCTGAAAAGAAGGAAGAGTTAGATAGAATTTTCAGGGAGGCAGTGCTCAATAAGAGGCTAGAGAAGCTGGGCCTAGTGGTACATGCTGTCTGGGAGGCTGAGGCAGGAGGACCCCAAGTTTTAGCCCAGCCTAGACAATTTAGCAACTTAGCAAGACACTGTCTCACAGTGAAACATAAAAATAAAAATTTAAAAAGGGCTGGTGATATAACTCACTGTGAAGGTCCCAGGTCCAATACCCAGTACAGAAAAAAAAAAAAAGAAAAAAAAAAAAAACTAAAGAAGAGATCTTGACCTCTTTTACTCCAAAGCTGCTTGGTTATGCATGAAGCCATGGAGAGGGGGAGGAGAGGGAAAAACTACTCTGAGGACCCTGAAACAATTGGGCCACGTGTAACTTTCAGTTTCTATGGGGCTTCACAAACAATGACTGAGAGCATTACAAATTTAGAAGCCTTAGTCCCAGGCTTTCCTCCCAACACTTTGAAAGCCCTCCCCAGTTCCTATTAGAGTTATAGTGGTTATTTGAACCTCAAAAAAAAGCACATCTCACTGCCCTGCCTACTTGAGATGAAAATAGTCTATTAGTTCATCCCTAGAAGAAAGAAATTCTAAAAAGTCAAGAGAAATTAAATTTTAGACAAAGTGGGCACGGTGGTACACACCTGTAATTTCAGCTCTCAAGAGGCTGAGGCAGGAGAATCACCGTGAATTCAAGGCCAGCCTGGGCTACACAGTGAAACTGTTTCAAAAAAAAATTTTAGACAAGTTGGAGGTTGGAATATACTGATCTTCAAGATCACTGATTCAATTTAAAAAAAAAGATTCGCCTACAATAAAACCAGGATACAAATCAAAGCAGGAAAGAAATAAGTATGTGGGGAAAAGAGACTCAAAAACTGTAAGGAGAAGAAAATGGTACAATGTTTCTGGAGACTATTTTGGCAATATATATCCAAATGCACAGATTTTGACTCAGCAAAAAATGCTTATATGGAGATCCTAATAACATGGGAAAGCAACCAGGAATAAACAAAAACTTTAGCTCTTTCTTAGAAGAAGTATGTTGAATGGGTGGATGATGTTAAAAAAATAAGAAAACCAGGGCCAGGGATTTAGCTCAGTGGCACCACACCTGCCTCGCAAGCACAAGGTTCTGAGTTCGATCCTTGGTACCAAAAAAAAAAGAAAAAACCATAAGCAGTATGTGTAATATAATCTCAAATATGATAAGAAACAGATAAAAATAGAAGCAAATGTGCCAAAATGTTTCTTTTTTTTTTAGTACCGGGGATCAAACTTGGGACCTTGTGCTTGCAACGCAGGTGGCGGCACCACTGAGCTAAATCCCCAGCCCCTCCAAAATGTTAATATATCTGATTAATAAGCTTATAATTGAGTCTATTAAGTAATTTGTTTATTTATTATGTTTTGAGACAGGGTATTGCTATGTTATCCTGGCTGGCCTTGAACTCACAGCAATTCTCCTTCCTCAGCCTCCCAAATTCTGGGATTACAGGCATGTGCCACCATGCCCAGCAATTTTTTTTCTTTTTAATATCCTATACCTGAAACATTTTTCTCTAATGAATATGCTATTTTGATGGGGAGGGGAAAATCAGTAACCTATTTAAATCGGGAAAACAAAAAGGAAAAGAACACCAAAAGGGCATACACAGGAGCACCCTAGCAGTCACCATTAGGGTAGAGAGACAATACTGAAAGTATTACCACTAATTTGACAATGACTATAAGCTTGCAGATTGAGTGTCTGGCTCTTCTTCCATCATCACTTGGCCAGAATCTGTTGTCTCTAGGGCAGGACAAAAGAGAGGATGAATGACTGAGACCTAGGAGTTTCTCAAACCACAGAAAAAAAAAAATGTAGAATGCTTATAACATGAAATGCTGTGGAGAAAAGCAGAGCCCCAAAACATCTTGAAAATGACTACAGCAGATGAACATTCCCCTGGTTAGCATGCAGCCAGAAAAGTGATTTTGGCTGGAAGTGTTCACTACAAATGTGGTTATCTGCAGTTCTCACAATGAAGTTTATCGTAAAATAATTAGGTTTTTTACTAGATCCTGAATAGAGCTTCTTGGGAGCATAACAAGATTAATTAGGTTGTTCTGTTACTATAGTTATATTTTAAAAACTTCTTCTGGTTCGAAGACCAAAGAATTCTCAATCAAAATCTCAACCAGAACCTAAGGTATGCAACGTGGGTCTGAGAAGAGATTTTTAGCAGGCCAAATTTAGCCCATCAATTATATACTCCATCTAGAGACTCTTGATAATTCTACCAAATTTAATATTAAAGCATCAAGAAGATAGAACTGAAAGGGAACAAAGAATAATACAAAGTACATAGTCCAACAGACAAGCTGGCCCTAGAGTTTGCCACTTTGTAAAAATAACTGAGAATTCATTCTGAAAGAAAAAGCTAAAATCACACATAAAAGAATGAACTAGAGCTGCCAAAATAGGCCATAAAACATTACAGTGTGGAAAAAAGGGCAAATGGGTAGAAAATACATAAAGTACATATAAAAATTTAAAACATGCAAATGAATACTATGTATCATTTTTGATACCTACATATGCACTAATAATACAAAAACACTAAATTCAAGATATCAGTAACTTCTAAGGAGAGGAGGATTAAGATTGTAGAGTACACAAAGGGCTTTTTTGGGCGAAAGGTGGCTTTTAGCACTATTGATAATCTTTTATTTCTAACAGAAATACCTGATGCAGGTCAGATGTAGTAACGCATGCCTGCAATCCCAGCACTTGGGAGGCTAAGGAAGGAGGATAGCTGTGAGTTCAAGGCCAGCTTGGGCTATGTACTGAGTTCAAGGCCAGCCTGAATTACAGAGTGAGACTCTGTCTAAAACAAACACAAAAAAATACCTGATGCAATTAAGGCACAATGTTAAGATTCCATAGAATTAAGTGGTGAACCCATGAGTATAATGTTTGATAATGTTATTCTCTGTACTTTCTATTTGAAATATTACATAATATATAAAAATATATTCAATCGAAGTTTTACATTTACAGTACGCAATAACAAACCCTAGGAACAGAGAAAGAATGCACCTCATTTAAATGCTATGCTTTCATTCTATTTACCATGAAACATCCTGGAAAGAAAACATCAAGTAACTCTAGGAATCCATTAGTGAGACAGAAGCTCCTCTGGGGAAGGACATAAAGAAGGAAAATGAGCCAATGAGTTGGGCGTGGTGGCAAACACCTATAATCTCAGTACCCAGGAGGCTGAGGCAAGAAGATCTCAAGTTCCAGGCAAGCTTGAGCTATGTAGCTAGTTCAAGGCCAGCCTGAACTACATAGTGGGGGGGGGGGAGAGAGAGAGAGAGAGAGAGAGAGAGAGAGAGAGAGAGAGAGAGAGAGAGAGAGAGAGAGAGAGAGAGAGAGAGAGAACCAGTCTGGAGAAATATAATATGCAGAGGAAAGTGCCCCAGGGTCCTGAATTCACTTACCCCCCCCCCAGTTTATCACCATTTCCTTTCTTGCTGAGCATTCATAAAAGATGCAAAGAAGTCTGTCCCAATTACTTTTTGATGACAGCCTTGGGAAATAACAAGGTGCTGAAGTGGATGGCATCTTATCTCATTAAAGGAAAAAAATCACTCTAGAAATAATGAAGTACCACAGAAACAGCAAGGACTATAAATGGGTGAGGTTGAAAAAAATCACATATTCTCTATAAGTCTCAGTTTCCTCATCTGTTTGTTGTAAAGAATCAATGAAATAACACATGTAAAATGCCTGACAGGAACTGGGGCTGTAGCTCAATGGTAGAAATCTTACCTAGCATGTACAAAGCCCTGGGTTCCATCCTCAGCACTACAAATAAATAAATCACTATATATAAATAATTGAAAGGTAGATGGTACTGAGAGAAACAGGGATTTCCATCTATCCCCCTATGGAGAGAAAAGGAATTATTAGAATATTGCTGGCCAATTAAGTAGTAGTTTAAAGGAGAAATAAAGAGAAAACATTGCGTTTAACTGGTTTTTGCTAACTCGCGTTTCATGGACTCCCACCAATCATAGGCAGACGGTATAGGTTTCTGCATCTTGCTCTGATGTTGTCCTTAATAGTGTTTTATCTCATCATAAGTAAAAGATAAGAGCCAATGGTGATTTAGTTTACTGATTCTGCAAATGCTGTCTATATTAATTCCTTGGCACAGTGCAGTTTGCATGATGGCTGAACTTGTATTAAGAAGCTTCCTCTTTCTTAATTCTGCTGCTCCATACAAAGCTGTGAGGCTACAAAAAGTTGCTAAATGAAAATCCTTGCACTTGCAGTTTAACAAAAAGAACATTATAACACTGAAACTCTATTTTAAGTGAAAAACTCTGCATTTCTATTATCTTTCCTACCTCTCTTCTCTTTTTTTCTATATGAACAACTGCATGTGTATGTGACACATTCATATCACTTCCGTTTCCACCCCACCTCCTACCCCCTGAGTGAGGTGTAGAGTCAGCCCTCACTGTGCATATTTTGTGGTTGAATGGACTCTGTACACTGCCAAAATTGTTAGAGGAAAAAATTAGGGCTTTCCATAATAAGTATCCACAGAAGCTCTATACTCCAATGCAGAGCTGTCTACTAGCCACCAACCTGCTGGAAGAATAGAGATGGATACCTCTACTTTCACATTATCAGCTGATGGACCAATGGTGCCTAAAGAAGAACTACCACATTTTCAGCCCATGTGAGTCTGGACTGGATAACAAATAATAGGAAAAAAACAGCCCAAAAAGGGGGATACCAAACCATGGAAATCCCAGTAATCTTTCAGCTCGGTAATCTGAAGATAAGAGGCCATTTCACACCCTGCTCAGAGGGGTGATGGCTAATGAGAGGCTCACTTACTTCCTCATATTTAAACCAGCACTAAACCCTACCCCAACAGAGACATTTAATTAAGAAAGGAAGGCTTCCTCTTGTACAAATTGGATTTGTTCTAACACAGAAAAAGAGCAGAGGCAGCATCTAGAAGGACTTGCCTTATAGGAAATAAGAGCAGAAGCCAAGACTGAAGTAGATGCTGGGTCTGAGCAGAGAGTGCATTCACCAAGATCCTGCAAAAAAACTAAAGGTAAAATGCTAGATGTGCTTTATGCAGCTACGGGAAGCACAACTGGACATGGTTTGTTAGGAAGCTTTTACTGTTTATACTGCTCAGTTTCTCAGGAGTTTTATTTTGTTTTCTGTAACTTGAGTCTTTGATTGTGAAGAGGTACTTAATTGTACTTCACCATTGAATAAATGTGATATTATTACAGAGATTTCAGTGAGTTAGCAGTTCCTGAGAATACAGTACTATTGCTTGGTTACCACTACTTCTGGGCAAATGAATAATTGTAATGTTAAAAGGAACCTCTTTGGAGTTTGAGCTGAAACTGAATGTTACAAAGGACTGATCTGGTTATAAACTCTGCTGCTTGTCACACCTGGGAGAGACCATTTGAACCAGGTATTCTGAGAAGAGAGCTGTGTGGCAGACTATGCAAAAGGTTTGCATCTTTGCCTAATTTTTCTTTGAAGATCATTTACAAAATAGATTGAACAAATCTACCACTAGAAGACAGTGGCATCTACATGGTAGACAAGAGGCAAAGTAATCATTCTGAACATTCTAGTGTTCTTTTAATATATTTTTTCTTCGTAGTACGATAATAGAACCATCTATACCACAGGAAAGAGCAAAATAAGAGCCCCAGACTTTGATAAAAACCACTCCCTTACTCTCTTAATGTGAGCAATAATCTGTGCTTCACAAGTAGGAAAAAATGCTGACTTTATTCTCTTCCATGGTACCACCAAAAGTATAGGAGTATAGTCTTTAAAAATTAATCCCACCTTGGGGCCGGGGATTTAGCTCAGTGGTTCCTGCACCTGGCTCACAAGCGCAAGGACCAGAGTACCAAAAAAAAAAAAAAAAATTAATCCCACCTTCCTCATAGGAAGACACTGAGGAAAGGCTGGTGATTTTTTCATTACTTACTCAGTGCTCCATTTTTGTGACAGTATTTATTTTCACTTTATCTAATGAAGGTTTGGAGTTAGTAATAAAATTGTGCATAAACTGTAGGTGAATAACTGATGTGAAATGTTGTTTTCTGTAAATAAAAAGCCACAGGTGGATTTTGGGAACTTTCTTTGCTTTCTGTATTTAGTTTACCTTAACTGACTCCTTGTGGAGTATTGTAAATTTAGTAAGGCTAAACATGTTACTCCTTGTAAGGGAGCACACCTGGCATCTGTACTGGTAAGATAGTTGTATCCCTTTTGCATGATGCTGTCTAAAAGAACTAATCTAAAAAAAGATGGAGGAAAAGGCCAAAAATAAACACTCCTTCCCCCTCAATTTGTGCTTTTAACTTGAAAAGAAATCTTCTATCCTTTGTAGCTCAGTCAGTGGGTGATGGGGAAAATCAGTTGAATGGCCGTTACTGTGTATCCATAACTGCAGGTGCAGCCTCCATGTCCTTACTAGACTGCTTGGTTACAGACCCCAGTCAGACAATGTTTGAGAAATTACATTCACTGTCTAGGAAACTGGGAACTGAAAGTCCAATATCTGCCTCAGTGGAGTTTTGGCACCTGCATTATCCCTTCTGGGAATATCAGGGTCAACAGCTGCACAGAGACTTATGCTGTTCACAGATTGTGTACATGTATCATAGAGAGTGAACAGTGTAAAGCTGCCCCGTGATGTTACTAAGCACACAGAAACATACATGTAAGTCAACACCAAAAGCATTCCATTGCCTTCTGTAGAACCTAGTTTTTGTCAATTCACAATGTATCATCAGTCTTCCCCATACAATGTGTATTCATTATGCCTGAACATTGACAGACCTGAGGACTGTTGAAGGAGAATGTCAAGGTAGGAACAAGGCTTTTTTTTTTTTTGGTACCGGGGATCGAACTCGGGACCTTGTGCTTGCGAGGCAGGCTCTGGAACTACTGAGCTAAATCCCTGTCCTGAAACAAGACTTTTTAAAGTAACATTGCACATTATTGTTCCATCTTAAATAGGTAGCTAGGCTGAGGGGGAACCGGAAGGTATGGGGATTAATGTGCTGGAACCTCAATAGCTTTCATTATCAACAGCACACAAGTGAGCTCCAGAAAGAAGAAGCAATGGCTGCAGTGATACTGGAAAGCATCTTTCTGAAACGCTCCCAGCAAAAAAAGAAAACATCACCTTTAAACTTTAAGAAGCGTCTCTTTCTTTTGACCATGCACAAGCTTTCCTACTATGAGTATGACTTTGAACGTGGGGTAAGTTTCCCAGCTGTGAAGCCCGAATTTCAAGAGTTGAAGGAGTTGGCTTTAGACCTTCTTTGGGGAAGAGGTACATCTTTCTAGATAGGAAGAGGGAGATAGAATAAACCTAAATATATTCCAACTCAGCAAAATATTTCCTAGCCTATAACTACCTATAACCATGCTGGTGCAAAAATTTAAAGGTGCTAAGAAGTCACGGGGGAAGTCTTACCATGGAATCTTGCAAGTGGTGAATACTCATTGAAGGATTGTTGGAGAATAAAATCCAAGAGTTGGAAATTGCTTCTTACAACAAAGGTGCACACAGTCATTTACTTTTCCATAGTATTTGTCCTCCATTTGGTAGTCAAAGGTTAGATTAATAGATCTGGAAGTGTTTTTCTTTTTTCAAAATAACAGCTCCTAATATAGCACGTTGGTGCCACTTTATCATGTCGAACGATTAGATAACAAAATCTAATCATCTGCTTAATCACTCAATCTTTCTCCATTTTCTTACTCATTCTCTTTTTCAGAGAAGAGGCAGTAAGAAGGGTTCAATCGATGTTGAGAAGATTACCTGTGTTGAAACAGTAGTTCCTGAAAAAAATCCTCCTCCTGAAAGACAGATTCCGGTAAGAAGAAACCAGTGTCAGAGAGGGGGAGCCACGGACATTAACAAACTCGGACCTTTGAAATTTGTAAACAGAGTGATGATGCTGTGCATTGTGAAACACAGTCATGTTCCCTTAAAGTTTTTATTTTGCCATGGATTGTTTATACTGAGACTCGGCATCTTTCTTCCACGTGTAGAAAATATCATTTAACCTGGAAAACTTTAAAACACCGGTTTTAATTAATGCCATAGCAAGTTTTCAAACTGGGCAGAGTTGATTGGTTTTACTCCTTCAGTTGCCAAGACCCAATTTTGAGACTTAAGTATGTCTGAATGTCAGAATTCTGGGGCTCTGAGTCACATGAGATTCTCTCTCTATCTCTCTCTCTCTCTCTCTCTCTCTCTCTCTCTCTCTCTCTCTCT